GGCAGTGCTACATGACCTGAAAACTCAATCATCAGCTTTAGAATCAGAGATTGAAAAATGAAAAGCTATTTGAGAGTATTAAAAGGCAGATATTATTAAAATCTTGAGAGTGAGTTTTAAATATGTTTCTCTTTATAAGAGTTGGATGTCTGATTGATTGATTTCACACTTCCCCATGATGGATAATGTGGAAAAAGAATTTAGCCATTCTTAAACTCATGAGTATAGCTTAGGACTATTAAGGAACCTACATAGAAAATACTTATTTTCACAAATAGAACTCCCTAAGTGGCACTAGATAAAGCAGAAATACGTCACACGTGTCCAAGAATTACTATGTTACATTCAAAGTACTAAACGCATTCCATGGTGTGCCCGTGTGTGTATGTGTGTGTGTGTGTGTGTGTGTGTGTGTGTGTGTGTGTGTGTGTGTGTGTGTGTGATAGAGACAGACGGATGGATGGACAGAGACAGAGAAAGACAGACAGAAAGTCAGAGACAGAGACAAGAAACAGAGAGAGACAAAAACAGATGTCCCATCTTATCCTTTCTTAACCAAATGGAAGACCTTCTCAGAAAACTTTGTTTGAACAGTGACTTACAGAAGCATTTAAAAACTAACTCTATGGAAGTCAATTTTAACATCCAAGATTCTCACTCTTATAAATATATCATTAAATCTCAGACCATGGCTTCTCTCGTATTAGCTGGCAAAATAATCTGAAAAAAGCTTGTAAAGTTTACCCTTACAATTATTTTCAAAAGGATGAAAAGTATCCAATATTCCAGCTACTGAGCATGCAGCTCTCCCAGGGAGGGCACTCAGCTGAAGAGCATTTTATAGAGTAAGATTAATGATTAACTAAGTATAATTCTATTTTCCTGACTAATTATGGGGTGCCGCACACTAAACAAAATGTATCTCAACCAAAGTATCTAACAGAATTACCCGTGTTAGAACTTTAACAAACAGTTCCTGAGATTTAAAAGACCGGCATGGGTAAAGGACACAGAACGGAAGCACACATTTTCACACACTTAAGGCACATTGGAACTGGACTCTGGAAAGCTTTTTAAAAGATGACTGTCTGCCCTAACACCTATGACAACAGAAAAAGTTAACAAAGGAAAGACTTACAGAGGCACTGAACTACCTTTAAGAGGAAAAGAAATGGTAAACCCAATCCATTTTTAAGAACGTTCAATGCTGGGCTAATAGCATTCTCATTTCCTGCATCTATTCTGGGAATGGATGAGAACTCTTTTTTTTTTTCTGGATGGGTGACAGTTGTGTCTGATACTCAGCAATTAATACATGGATTAACATACAAATCCCATGTGATAATGTCTTCAGATAAGGTTCACCCAGATTTATGCCAACTGTAAAATCTACAAATCTAGCACACTCTGGAAGCAAGGACAGGGCTAATGTATAAAATGAAAACTATACTGCTGTGCTTATATTATTATGCTCACACACACACACACACACACACACACACACACACACACACACACACACACACACACCCTTGGGGCTTGAACTCTGGGCCTAGGTATTGTTCTTGAGCTCCTTTTGCTCAGGGCTAGCTCTCTACCATTTGAGCCACAGCACTACTTCCGCTTAATTGGGGAATGAGTCCTGCCCCGGCTGGCCTTAAACTGGGATCCTCAGATCTCAACCTCCTGAGTAGCCAGGCTTACAGGCCGCCACCCATCTTCCTCCTGCTCTTTGAAATACTGAACCTAAATGATTACAAACCCTTGTCAATAACCCATCTTTGGCTTGAAAATGAATTTTCCAATTGAAATTTATCTTAAAACTATAACCAAGATTGCTGTTGAAAGTACAGCAAATGAACATACTTTGTTGCCATAAATAATTTAAACGAGATTCTTGAATGGGTGAAATCAATAGCTCTCATCAAGCCTTTGGGGAGGGAGGACCTTCTGTGTAAGTACAGTGATGGTAGCTGGGGTAGGAGTGAGAGCCAAGACTAGAAAGAGCCTGCCAGCCGTCACCCACACAGCACAGCTTTAGACCCAGCTTCCCCTCCACCTGAAGGCAGAGAATCAACCCAGTCTTGAACAGCCTGGAGACAGGGACCATTTCCCTGTCCCCTCACTCACCGGCTTTGGGTGTTGTAGCTTGTTTTCTGTTCGTTTTCTCATGCCTAGGCTTGCAAATGTGTAAGATAGGAAAACAAATCAAAAAAGGAAAAGCCCTCATTAGATTGCCTTCTTAACCCAAGCCAGGCAGAAAGAGAATTAATCGATATTTAGTACTATGGACCTATTGGCTCTAAGAAGGTAAACAATAGCAATAAAACAGAAGAGAATCCTATATTCACCTTTATTTTTTATCATCACTGTTATTACTGGGCTGTGGCTGATCATCGTTTTTCTTTAGGGCTTTCCAAATAGAGAGCCCAATCTGAGAACTAAATTTAATTGCTCTGTGTCTCAACAGAGCGCACATATAATCCAGCAGTCAATTCAAGAAAATGAAGATCAACATTTTCTTGGTAACCTCGGCCTTTTCAGATTTTTATCTCACACACAGGCTAAGAGAAAAATCCTCTCTCACTGCAGAGCCCAATGTGAGTTTTTAAACTAATTATTTGGAAGGGAAATGGAACTTGGGCGGACGGTGTTCATTTTTCTTCCTTTTAGCACCAGGAATTTACCCACAACTCTGTTCAGATTTAATGTCATTTCTTTTCATTACGTCCACCTACTTCGCACTGCTGCCCATGAGCAGTGCTCAGGTTAACCACCACGGAATCTAGAATATCCTATTCTGGATGTGGCCTTGGTGTTCATCCAATGGGCTACATTACTGTCACAAAAAGAAAGAAGAAAGAGGAGGAAGAGTGTATTTTCAGGCTGTGGCTTCTGGAGTCTCTCTCGTGTTAACTTGCTAAACTAGGATTCACTGCAAATGTTCTGGCAGTCTCCCTGCCTGCAAATCCGCACTACCTTGTCATTCCCAAACCTCAGCTCCTGGCCTCTTCCAGGTACCACCAGAAAGCCAGCCTTTCCACCTGGGGGGGGGGGGGGTTGTTCGCAGCCCCAGGGGAGCACCAGCGCCCCCACACACACCGCCCTCCCCGGCCAGGGGACCCCAAGACCCAAGCTTCCCGGTCCCCAACTCTGCTCTCCCCTCGGAGTGCAAGCGTGGGAACCGCACGGGCTTTTGTTGCGGGCGCCCCGGTGGCCAGGTCCCCCTAAGCTCTGAGGCTCCTCGGTGGAACCGGAATGGGGGGGCGGGGGGCGCCAGGGAGAAGGTGCATCCCCGTGAAGGGGTGAGAGGGTCCTAAAATGTCTACTCGGGCCTCGGGTTCTCCAGCCGGGGCCTGGGTGCCCGCGGGCCGGGAGGCGGCGCCGGCGAGGGGGAGGCGGGCACCCCGGCCGGTCCGCGCGGGGGGCTCCCGGAGGAAGCGCCCCGCGCCGGGCAGCCCCAGCCCAAGCCCCGGCGCCCGCCGCCCGGGGCGCGGAGCCGCAGGGCCCGGGGCGCAGCGTCCCGCTGCCAGCTCTGGGTCGGCCGGGCGGACAAAGCGCCTCCCGCTCCGTCCCTCCTTCCCCAACGGCCGCTCCTGGAGGGAGGGGAGCGAGGCACCGGAGGGGCGGGCCCGGGCGGCCGGGGGAGGGCTGGGGGAGGGGCTGGGAGGAGGGCAGGGTTCTCCAGCCCAAGATAAACAAATTGTTCCTCTTCACGTGCGGGGCGGGGGAAGTGAGGAGCGGGGCCCGCGCCCCCCTCCCCCCAGCCGGCTCTTTGTCACCGACCGCCAGGCAAACGCCCGCGGGGGCACCGACACCACCCCGGGCGGGAGCGCCGAGGACTCGGGCCGGGGACGTGCGCGGTGGCGACGCCGCACCCCGCCCAGGCCACCCGCGCCGGGCCCGGCGCGCTCACCCCGCCGTCCGGCCGCCCGGCCAGCACTCGGCGGCCGCGAGCGGGGTGGCACCGGGAGGGGGGAGGGAGAGGGAGGGCAGACACCTCTCCCGGGCTTCCGCCCCCGGGGCTCGGAGAGGAGGGGAGGGGAGATCGGAGAAAGGCTCGCACCCCGAGCTGCGGGGCGGGGACGGCTACTTCTTCCCGGGGCCGGGGGCGGCTCCGCCTCCGCCTCCGCGCGCCCACTCTCCCGGTCTCCCAGCCGCGGCGCCTCCGGTTCCCCTCCGCCCCTCCCGACTCGTAAAGTTAGCGGGGCGGGGGGCGAGGCGGGGGTGGTGGGGAGTCCCCAGCCGAGCTGCACAGCCCGGACCCGGCGCCAGCCCTGGGCGTAGCTCCGGGCTCCCGACCCTCCGGACGGCTCCACCTGCCGGGCAACCCGGGGTCTCGGGCGGGAGCGCCGCGCAGCCGCGCGCCCCGCAGCCGCGCGCACTCCCGCGCCGCGCGCGTCGCCACCCCGGCTCATTTCTCACCCACTTCAAAGTTCATTCACAAAACTCCCGACTTTCCCGGAGACGCTCCGTGCCCCCCCTTCCTCCTTCCCTCCCCGCCCTGGGTGTGGGGCGGTGGGAGGGGGTACGAGGGGGGGTCCGCCCGATTCCTCGCGGAGGTACCGAGCCACCGGGGTGGGCGATCGGGACCCCGGGCCCGGGCGGGCGGCGCGGGGTGCGGCGGGGCGCGGGGAGGAGGGGTTCGCTCTGGCTTTTCGATCTGCCTCTAAGTAAAGGGAGGGGGAAACTTTTGCGGCTCCCCGCTCGGCGCTCCCCCCGCCCCTGGCGGTCGTGACTGGCTTCTCCCGCCCTCGCCCCCTCCTCCCCACATCTGACGAGCCTGACACACGAACAGGTAGCGACCGCGACGGCTGCTTTTATTTATTATTTTTTTCCCTCCTCCCGGGGAAAAGTTGACGTTTAACCCTTGCAGCTCCGTCCCCCGCCGCCACCCGCACCCCCGGCGCGTGCCACGGAGTCCCCGGCCCCCCCGCCCCTCGCGCGCCGCTCCACGCCCCCCCACGCGCGCCCCAGCCCCGCGGCCAGCGCGTCCTCACCATGATCAGAGTGTGGTTCCTCTGCTCCGCCGAGGCAGCCTCCGCATCTTGCTGGGGTTTGTTGGGGTGCTGCTGCTTGCCGGCGCCGGCGCCCGATTTCTTGGCCCTCTGCTCCAGGGTCCGCTGGTAGAGGCTGACGGTGTCCCGGCGCTCCAGCTCCAGCTGCTCCACCTGAGCCTGCTGGTACCTGTTCTCGCAGTGGACGTGGTGCCGCCGGCAGCCCTCGATGCGCTGGCGGAGCCGCTCGACCACCGTGCTGTGCTTGGGGACGCCCCCCGCCGAGCCGCCGCCGCCGCCGCCGCTCGGGGCGCCGCCGGGAGTCCCCGCGCCGACCCCGGCCCCGCCGATCGCGGCCCCGCCGAGGCCGCCCAGGCTGCTGTTCAGGCAGATACTACTGCCATTCGCGGCGGCGGCGGCGGGGGCCGCGAAATCCCCCATCCTGCTCCCCGGGCACACTATTTTGGAAGAACTTTTTTTATCCGCACAACCCCACCCTCCCCCCCTTCCCCTATCAGCCGCCTCCCCGGGTCCAAGGATTAAAATAGTTTAAGTGGAACGCGGGGGAGATGCAGGCACATGGATGGAAACAGCGATCCTGACGGGGCGGAAAAAAAAGAGAGGGGGGAGAGATTTGGGGGTGGTTTTTTTTTTTGGTTGTTTCCTTTTATAAACTGTAAAGCTCGAGGGAAAAAAAGGGGGGAGAGAGAGAGGTTGTTCTCGAAAATACCATCAGACACCTATCCACAAAAAGAATCGCCACCAACGGAGCCGGCAGCACCTCGGGTGGCGACCGAAGGGGAGATCCGCTCCGCGCCCGCCGGCGCCGCGCCATCCATTATTTCCTAATACATTCCGAGAGGTTTCCGGCGGTTGGCAAGCGTGTGCGTGTGCGTGTGTGTGTGTGTGTGTGTTTTCCTCCCCGCGTCCCGAAGAGCGCACCCCGTGTGCGCACACACGCGCGCGCGCACACACACACCAGCGTGGGCTCCGACGCGGGCGCGCGGCGCGCACTCACTCCGCGCCGCAGCGGCCGACTCCGGGCTCGCTCATCGCGTTTTCCGTCCACAAAAAAGTTTTGGTGTTTATGCCGCCCCGTGTTCTCAGAGTACTTGGGCTGCCCGGCCGCATGTCACGGGAGCCTAGGAACCGAGTCCCCGGGCCGGGGGAAGTCAGCACCGGGGCAGTCCGAGGAGGAGGAGAGGAAGGAGGAGGCGGCTGCCAAAGTAGATCGCCGAAGTCCTCTGCCAAAGGCCGCCGCGCGCAGAGCCGCCGCCGCCGCCGCCGCCGCTCCTGCACCATCACAATGATCCGCCGCTCGCCGCCGCCGCCGCCGCCTCCCCGCGCCCCGCCGCCTCCTCCTCGCGCTCCTCCGCGGCCTCCTCCTCCTCCATGCCAGCGGAGTGATACCAGGACGCGCGAGCTCAGTAAACACGGCAGCCGCGGCTGGAGCCCGGAGCCGAAGCCGGGGACCGGGCGCAAAACCCGGCCCGGACTCACGCCCGGCAGGAGCGGGCGCGGCGCGCGCAGCGCCCGGAGCGGCGGGCACCGCGCTCCCCGCCTCCCCGCCTCCCCGCCGGGGTGGGGGAGTGGAGCGGGGCGGAGAGGGGGGCCGGACCGCCTCGCCCTCCCCGCACCTCCACGCCCCCAACCTAGCGACGACCGGGGGCGGGGGCTGGGGGGGGGGGGCTTGGCAAACCCTAGCGGCCAGAAACCCGGGAGAGAAAGACTGGGAGCGCGGGGAGGGGGCAGAGGAGGCGGGATCGCAAGAATGAATCAACTTTTCGCTCGCGTGTGCGCGCGGGGGGGGGGGGGGGTGGAATGTGCACGAGTGCGCGCGGGTGCTTGTGCGAGCCGGCCGCGGGGACGCGCCTGTCTGGGTTTCCTTATTCCAAGCCTGCTCATCGGGGAGCCCAAGTTGTTGTGATACGGGTAAGCATTGTGCCTGACCAGGCAGGAACACCCCAGCAGTCACTGGCGGCCCTCCGTGGGACGGGAGAGGCCGAGAGAGGCTTGTTCTCAAAGGCCAGGCGGTGGCCACCACTTGCTCAAACTCTAGGACAGGCTTCACACAAAAAGCTGATTCTTCATAAATAGAAGTAAGCAGTAAAAATGATTTTTAACAAAAAAAGCCTTGGAGTACTAGAATGTTATTTAATCCACTGTACGTAATGACTGTTGTTATTAAGGCAATTATTGTTTTACCCTCGGAAACAATGAAAATAAAGCTAGCAGGGACTCGGAGGTGAGGCTAACAGTGCATTTTAACAGACTGTTTGGAGCACTAGGTGCTAATGACAGCAGTAATTAAGGGTCCTTCTTAAATCAAGTGGAAAGATTGTAGATTTCATGGGCTAACACTATAGGAAAAACACAGCATTTCACAGTTTGTCATGACCAAAACAAAAACAAGCAAAAATAACTGGCTGACTTTATTGCAGAATATAATTCTATTTCAGTGAATTCACAGTAAGTGTAATTAAAACGGAACAGCAATTCCGATGTAAGCTTTTCCTTGTATTTTGGCAAATGGTCTCTCCAGTCATGGTATAAAAACAATGAAGATCAAATATTCTGGCCTCTGGACAAGAATGTTTGTTTGTTTGGTGCTAGTTCTAAGCCTTGAACTCAGGGCCTGGGCTCTCTCCTTAGCTTTTTTGCTCAAGGGTAATGCCATCTGAGCCTCTCCTCCACTTGCAGCATTTTGATAGAGATAAGAACCTTACAGACTTCCTTACCAAACTAGCTTCTAGTCAGGATCCTCAGATCTCAGCCTCCTGAGTAGCCAGGATTACAGGTATGAGCCACCAGTGCCTGCTTGACTCTGACTTGAAACCGTTGCATATAGACAAATGGGAAAGAAAAAAAAACTGAAATGGAGAAATTGCTAGCATTATCAATAGGCCACAGATTTTGATTGTGAGATGTTAATTATAATGCATTTTTATATTATCTCAATAAATCATAGGGAATTAGTGTTTAGGGTAAAAATACACCCTAGTTTTCTAAAATAGTCAGAAATAAAAGAACTTTGGAACTTATGCATTAGGCATGAGATCTGATTTATACCATCTCCATTTCTTGGCATTGCAGATTAGCGTAGGATGCTATTTCTAACCTCATAAAGCCAGCCATCAGATGCTATATTTTTCTTCCATTAATCAGGTCTATATGGTGAACTATATCTTGAATGTATGCTGGATTGCATGGTGAAATGGACAAAATACTATTTGCCATGAAGTGAGTCTACTTCTAAGTGGCAAAAGCCACCATGAGCACTATCTCTTGTCCAGGATACTCCCCCCATCTCCCCCCCCCCCCCCGCCCCCTGCAAGGGCTATTTATTTAGTTCATGAGCTGCCTCTTGAGCTCAGTCAGAAATTTAAACTGAAATAGTTCTTTAGAAAATAAATGCATTCACTCTCTAAAAACATGTAGAGAAATGATATACAGTTATAATAACGGGGAACCCAAGTAGCCTTTATCTTTCTCACATTTCCAAGAGGCAGTCTCTCTACCGGCTGGGGGGGCGCGTGGCTCCCCACGGAGGGGAAGAGCTGCCTCTGCACTCTGCTCTCTTCACAAATATAATTCTTTTCCTCCTCCCCCACTTGCCTGCCCACGGCACGAGACTGTAACAGAAGAGGTTCTAGAACACTGGATCTTCAGTCATGAGACGTGAGTCTCTTGTGACTCAGAATTTAATTTTTCCTTGATGCTTTCTCAATCTAGGAGGGAAAAATTACAGTAGCAAAGCATGGTTTCTGATCAGCTTCCTTATGTTGCCTGTCAAGGGGAAGAAGAACACACGAATTTGTATCCTTCGCTTTGAAGGACCAGCAAGTGGAAAAACACACCTGTGGCTGGAGGTCCCCAACGAGAACTAGAGTTAGCTGTGCGTGCACAACCACAACATTCTTTACTTGCTGGTTTTAGCGTGTGAGTGGGCTGTAACCAAAAGCAAAATTGAAAGTGAGACGTGTATACACACACACAAACACACGAGCCCCACACCTCTTCAGGCTGATGAGAAAACAGTCACAGGCTCTAAGACCATGATATAGGAGCAGGAGAAAGTGTGACTCTGTGAGGGTGAGAAGAAACAAATCTTTGGGATAGGCAGTCTGCGAAATGCTCCACTGCACATGCTCGAGTCCAAAGACCCATCCTAGCTGTGTGTGCACGAAGCCGGGAATGCACAGGACCCATCCTAGCTGTGTGTGCACGAAGCCAGGAATGCACAGGACCCATCCGAGTCTTGAGCACCATGGACCTGTCACTCTGATTCCCAGATCACCAGCGATCTAAGAAACATAGGTCTTCGTGCTAGCCATTTCTGGCTATTCAACACATACACCTGCAAGGCTGCCATCGTTCTTGGTCTCCATCCTTACTACCTCCCTCACTGCCAAAAAGAAGTCCAAAATCTGAGAAAGAACCTTTAGTCCTTTCCCACCGCCAGTACTGAAACATGCGCAGTGTGTTCTATGTGAGCGTGCTGCAAAGTGAAACTTCGGACACGCCATCCATGCCGGGTGGGGGTGGGGGGGGGGGGAGGGCTCTTCAAAGGAGGAAAGGAAATCTGAGAAGCCTGAACAGGGGTGAGAAAGAAATTGCTGTGACTGACTTCCAGACATTGGTGCCTCTTTGGGCGCCAGGAGAGAAGAGCATGATGACTCTGCCCCCTGCCACAGAAGGTCCTGCACCTTGAGCTTGAAGAGCCACGGTGGACAGTTCTGAGGATTGAAGCAGACTCTTTGCTCTAGCTAATTCTGTCATGCTCCCAGACCCATCCAAATAGAGCCCGGGGTCCCAGTGACAAGAAAGTGATCTTGGGGAGCAAAGTCCATTTCCAGACACTTCTGCTCCTCTAATATTGTAATCAGCACTGGCTTCATCACCGTACCCTAAAAGCATACTTTGGTGACGAAGGCAGAATAAGAACTCTCTGCCACCGAAGTACAGGTAGACAAACCATTATGAATCTTCTCATCAAGTGGAGTCCCCGGCACTCCTGAAGGCCCAAGCACCTGTCCAACAACAGCTATCCCCTCAGTAATTTCACAAATAACACTGAGAGCATTCGGTGCGCCAGGCACAATGGGAGCCACTGGAGAGACAGCCAGAGTACATTGAACACATCCCAGCCCCGAAGGAGCCGAGCAGTGACTGATAGAATGAAGATGGAGACGGTATGGAAGCCAGCGAAAAGACTACACACCTGAGGAGGGAAGGAAAAAAATCAGCCAGCGGTTCCTTCTGGGAGAATTCAGGTAGAAGAGTGCGTGATGAGAGATGAGGTTGGAGCAGGAGCCAGACGTTCAAGGCCACCTAGAAGCTTAGACTGCGTCCTTGGGACGGTGGCTGCCCAGGCCCAAGGTTGAAGGGGATGGATCCTTTCAACCTTGACGCACACCTGCAGCATTAGGACGGTGTGCTTTTTGAAAAGAGTGTTCTGAAACACTAGGTCCCGTTGGATGCTTTCTCAGAAAAGCTCCTGAGTCAAGTTGAAGAGGGCACACCTTGCCTCCCACTGGAGATTCATTCCCCGCCACAGACTCCAAGCAATCTTGCCACAAGTGAGTTGGACTTTGTTTCACCCAGCAGTGCCCCACATCACGCTAGATCCCACAGAACACAGCACACTCCAGAACGTTCTACAGGACAGTGTGAGCATTGAGGGGCAAAGCTAACCCAGTTCCGTAGGCAGCAATGATCTTGGCAGGAAGCAGGAATTGGCGACTACACTCTGCATCAGCTCTAGCAGCAACCCTAGCACCCGGGGTTCAAGCCCTTTAGTAACCCTGGCTGGATGTATTGGATTGTGACCTTTAAGGAGTAAGGGAATAACTACACAAGGCAGAAATCCCAAAGGGAGAATTAGATGTGCCTTTTCCAGCATGAGCCCTCTGAGTATATTATATTAATATCTATCTCTACATAACAAAACCTTCTTATTAGGGGAAAGGTCAGCCTTATTTAACTGAACATCTTAATTACATGGTATCTTTTAAGACGAAGAGTTGTGCTGCTTTTGAAGCCTTCATTTCTCCCTAGCCTAACAAGCATTGGCTGCTGGGAGGTGTGCATTTCAATGCTTTCCATCTCCCAATAAGAGGTTGTAAGGGGCTGACATTCACCACCGGCCAGGGGTCTCTCCATGTGTGTTTCCTTTGTAGTTAAATGTTCCCAATTGGGTCCTTTTGTTAAGAAGGGGTTTCCTGAGCTGTGGGTTTCATGTCATCAATTTTGAGAGGAGTATGAATTAGTGGGTTTATTGTCTTGTTCGTG